CATGTATGTGTATTAACAGGCTAATCAATTTACCCCATGTATGCCTCTAGAAGACACTAGCGAACTCGCCCAGCGTCAGTACCAACAGCAGGAAAACGGGATTAAGTATGCAGTCCTAGCAACGGCGAGAGCACATCATTGGCCACTCCTATATATCTCATGACACGTCCTGCGGCACTCCTAATGCCTTGCAGGGTCTGGGGGCATCCTCGAGTTCTGCTTTCTGGCATTTTTGGCATTCGGGGATTTTTGTTATGCCTGATATCCTGGCTGTCATTTTCTTTCTCCCATGAGAGCGTTCATTGTTCTGGAGATTCGCATGTGTCCGATCGATTAAATTTTTGTTGCTTAAAAAATCATGTACTTGGAATTATAATTATTTCATTCTCTGGCCTAAAAATTTCGTGAAATGTGTTAAAAAAAAAAAGGTTTGCTTTAGCTGATACAACAGAAAACACCATATCCAACATTAAAAGAATGTAGACACAGAAACCCACTTAATATTAGCACTGAAATTTGAAGATGTTATTGTATGTGTTTGCGTGAGAATGATCACTTAGGGAATACCGCTTCTAAAAGATTCCGTGTGATAGCCTGAGTATGTCTTGAAGATATCATCTCGCGTGCAAGCCATTCCGAGTGTCTAGTTGCTCTCGCCAAAGTATGACGTCAGCATTCTCTCTCTCTCTCGCTCACTCATTCTCTCTCTCTCTCTCTCTCTCTCTCTCTCTCTCTCTCTCTCTCTCTCTCTCTCTCTCTCTCTCTCTCTCTCTCTCTCTCTCTCTCTCTCTCTCTCTCTCTCTCTCTCTCTCTCTCTCTCTCTCTCTCTCTCTCTCTCTCTCTCTCTCTCTCTCTCTCTCTCTCTCTCTCCTCTCTCTCTCCTCTCCCTCTCCTCTCCCTCTCCCTCTCCCTCTCCCTCTCCCTCTCCCTCTCCTCTCTCTCTCTCTCTCTCTCTCCCTATCTCTTTCTCTCATTCCCTCTCTATCTATCTGTATGACTAATTATCTATCTATCTATCCACTTATGTTTGTTTTTTATTCTCTTTCTTCTCTTGTAATTATCCGCATTTGTCCACGGAAAGCCACATCATACACTGAAGATTCTGATGGTGTCTGAAGGTGTCCTAAGGCAAGTGTTAGAATGAATACATATATATATATATATATGTATGACATCGCATCAAGAGCACTGCGCGACGTCTGCATCTGCCCGCATGTCTTGGCAGTCCGGTGAACTTTAGTGTCTAAGTGAAACGACGTGATCATGTCATTGATCATTTGATAGACTATGATTATATGATAGGCTATGGTGGGTGCGCTGACATGTGTTTTAAGTGTAAGATTGTGTTATTTTGTTCTACCGTGAGGCAAGCTTGTGTCCCTGCAAAATATATATTCAGAGAAAGATTGCGGTACATAAGATGATTATCTGGAAAATTCACAGTTGCTTTAGTTCAGACTTTAATTAGGTGGTCATCATTCAATTTGAGCTCCTTCAGACAGCTGGCAGACGAACATGATGTCTCGAACACTCAGACAAGTATGAGTGCCTTTAATGCCTGATTAGGGCTTCGTGGTTGATTATTATGCTTATTCTTATTAAATATTTTTAAAATTGTTATCATTATCATTATTGCTATTACTATTATTATTATTATTATTATTATAATTCTTATAATTTTAATTAATATCATTGTTTGTATGGGATTAGCTCAAAGTTAATAATACAAATTTTCTTTGCTTTTTAGTTGAATAAAGTGAGAAATTTGTAATAATACAAATTTTCTTTTCTTTTTAGTTGAATAAAGTGAGAAATTTGTAATAATACAAATTTCCTTTGCTTTTTAGTTGAATAAAGTGAGAAATTTGTAATACAAATTTTCTTTGCTTTTTAGTTGAATAAAGTGAGAAATTTGTAATACAAATTTTCTTTGCTTTTTAGTTGAATAAAGTGAGAAATTTGCTAACAGATCGAACAAAGGAGCACATTTCCTCTACTTTTACTGGGTGGTGCATGGCTCTACTTTGCTAAAAGATTGGGCATTTTTTTCCCCTTTATATTTACCGATTAGGAAATTTACCGAAAGAAATAGTATAAGTGATAAGGTCTACAGCCCACAAGAGAAGATTAGTTACTGAAAAAAATGCACAACAGATTATTAGTATTTTTTAATGAAATTTTGACCGCCATTCTTGTGGCCAATGATGGCTGAAGTAGTGAAAGTTCATTAGTAGGAACCCATAGATTCTTGTTTTTTCTTTGACTATAATTAATCACGCATTCCTCTAGGTTAAATTAACAGAATATATAATGATGTAACAAAAATCATACATAAGAAAGCCAATTCAAAAGCCGCTGTCCTAAATTGTGTATATACGGTATGCGATATAATGCATTTATTCAGGTTACGTTTATTTCGTCACATTTACTGGTTAGAAAAAAAAGCACTCATAACAACAAATTCTATATGAAGATGAAGCAAATTAAGACGTTACCAAAGAATTCAGTGCAGTTATATCATTAATATCTCTATTGTTATCGTCACTATCATCATTATTCTTGTCATTCGTATTATCATCATTGCTGTTATTCTGTCATTGCGATTGCTAATGTCAGTCTTCACGTTAGTAGAATAACTATAAGTCGTATATTTTTGTCATCACCATTACCATTATTATTTTCATCCCTATCACTGCAGTGGTTATTGTCAAAATCAAGAAAAAACAAGAATTGTAAACTAAAGGTTTCGACAGTAAGAACGTATAATATCACTATTATTTAAAATTATATTAATATTAATGTCTCCACAACCCTTATCATTCTCATCGTAATATTACCTTTATCATAACCTTTATTTTTCTGCGACTATGAAATAAATATAGCAAGCAGTACTATGTCATAATTACTGCCAACATTAAGGTAGTTATAATGAAAAGATTGTGATATCAATAATAATGATAATAATAACAATGTTTATAACGATAATAATGGCACTAATTAATGGCAATTGTTCCCTTCATCATTCTAACCATCTCTGTTGTTAATAGAATTAAGGTCATCATGAATATCTATATTACCGTTATTATTTAAATTGTTTAACATGTATTTATATGTATATATATATATTATATATATATATATATATATATATATATATATATATATATATATATATATATATATATATATAATCATATATCTTCATTGCCGTGAATGTAATGATAATAGCTACAGGTGATGTAATTTCATTATCATTACCACTATAACTACCGTTATTACTAGTACCACTGATGATTTGGAGAACAGTATAGAATACGCAAATGACCTAATTTGTATACATCCGTTCGTAAGTACACATGTATGAGAACTGCCACAACAGATGAGCCAGCATTCACAGAGAACAGAAGGGCCAAGTACGCATACCGGCTTTATCTCGGAAACGAAGTGCTGGAAGATATTATTATTCTTTTTTAAAAATCCTATGGAAGAACCAACAACAAATGAATATTGGGAATAATCGTCATTCAAGACATTGGGAGGGAAAGGAGATTCAGAGTGTTCTTCGCTGAGTGATTTCCGTGTTGATGAAATTGTATCAGAAACTATCTGTTTTTCTCCTTTCCTTCCATATCTCAAAGAAAGTAGAGGGATTATTTTTACATTAAAGAGTATCCATGGCCGAAGAAAAAAAATCCATGGCCGAAGAAAAAAAAAAAACTAATTGTAATCAAATAGTGATTTAAACTAAATCGAAGAAGGGCCCTACATGCAAACGCCGATATTATCGTACCTCTGGCCGCGCGGTTACCTCCTATCTGTCTCTACCCTATACTACACACAGCAATCTTTGTTTCCTTTTTTCGCCCCACTTTAATGACTCATGGCCAGATGATTGCTCGAGAGAATGCGTTTAGTCGTATGCTAAAGAGAAATCGCATGATTAATGAGAACTCGAGAGCTGTTTGCTTGAAATGGTGCGTTTGTTCAAATTATCGGGGTCTCGGAGGGCACGGGAGCCCATGAATGTATGCGCACACTTCGATTCAGCTGCCTTTTCTTCGCTTTTGTCTACGGTTATCTTGGCGTTTTGTTCGATTTTCGTGGCGGTTTATATATCTATTTGGCATAAATTATTCAGTCATTACCAGCTGGTACGTTCTTTCTCTGCTAGTGACACAGAGAGAGGAGGTTCAATTCCTTCCCTGATATTCTGCCGCAACGTTACCAACGCAGATCTTTGTTATTATTATTATTATTATTATTGTTATTATTATTATTATTATTATTATTATTATTATTATCATTACTATTATTATTATTATTATTATTATTATTATTATTATTATTATTATTATTACTATTATTAACATTGTAGTTATTTTTGTTATTATTATCTTTTGTCATTATCATTATTATTATTATTGTTAGTATTATTACTTCTATTATTATTATCATTATCTGAAAATCGTAAATCATATATATCGTACCTTTTATAGAGTGACACCGCAGATATGATGATTTTGAATCAGTCTGCCAAAAATGAGAAACTGGATACCTCCTATATGACAAAAGTATCCATTCCACGATTTTATTTTGATATTTTAGTCTGTTTTCAGATTTTTGCAGACATTTTTTTTAATTACATTTTTTCGTGTCTATATTTTCTCTTGCTACACACGTACTTAAGAACCTTCTTATAGGAATAAGTATAATTTAAGTTAAGCAGTTCTTTGTAAATTAAAACCAGAAAAAATCGCAGCCCCTTGCTAGAACGATAGCAGATAATATATTATTTTACCCGATGTTACAAAGATTGTCTAAGCATTGTGAAATTAGAGAAAAAAGCAACTGCTCATTATACAATGACTGATCTCCGTTCTGTACATAGCAGCCGGGAAAGAAGACAAATACGTAACCTAGCAGAGGCTTTCGTAAAAGTTAGCGTACTCGGCGCTTCACAGGAGGCATTCGAGGGCGCAGCATGTTGGCAACGGTGGGTACTGGTATGGCAGTCTGCATCTGGCTGTGGTTCGGGAAAGGGTCCTCGCCACTCTCTTCCTGAGTGCTGTGCTAGTGAGTGTGGCAGACTGGACCATAGCCACAGCATCAGTGCATCATCACCTGACACAGCGAGGATTAAATCCACAGTTCGATTTTGATTCTGGTGTTGAGAGCTAAAGTCTCTTTCCTCAGAAAGCTTCGCGTTAAAAGCACTAAGGTAAGACTAACATTAAAGAAGTACCCGAAGCTTAACCCACACGAGCCGCCCACCTCAGACCACTTGTTGTTGGTCTGGGAAGGATGTGTGTGAATATTCAGGGGCATTTTCTCCGCGGGTGTGTGTCTATGTTTGGGTGGGGATGTAACGGGTGTAAGTGTCCGGGTGT